TCCGAGGGCGAGACGGGAGGTCCACTGCGCGCTGCCCGGCAGCCTCCCGGGTCTCCTGGGAAAAGAGGACGCCGACCGCCGGGCCTTCGCCGGGCTCTGGGTCACTCGAGTCACCGTGCCTCAGTTTCCCTAGGACTGGGCGGAAGGTGTTCTGGCTTTGGCCCCCAGGACTGTGAGTGCGGGTTGTGCTTCGGGAACCGGGAGGGCACCGAATCCTGATGCTGCAGGAGTGTGGGAAGCAGTGGGTACTGCGAGCCGCCGCCTCGCGACTGGGGCTCTCAGAGTTTGTCGCATTTGACACCATAGCAAGTTGACATCGAATTACTTCATGGCCTGGGTTGAGAAAACGTGCCCGTCGACTTCCATAACAAAGTCATTGAAAAACCGATTTATCCTAATATTGAGCATTAGCCTGTCTGCCTTTAAAAAAAAATTTTGAGCTTACAAATTGCATGATTGATAAAGCAGACTAGCAAAAAGAAAGAAAAAAGTGTTTGCTGCTCCATTTTCTGCTCACGCTGTAAAAAATTATGGTTCGATTGTGGTTGTTTTTAAAGGCACTTGTTAGAAGTTTGGTTACTGTAAAACAGTCTTTATGCTCCTTATGTTAGCTTTATATTAAAAACTTGGAAACTTATCCGTGCAGAAGCTCAGTGTTTTTTGAAGTTTTCTCACTTTTGTTTCTAGATGAAACACATTTTTTTTTTCAGTTGCTACTATGCTGGAACATAGCAAAATGTTCAGGATGAAATTGCAGGGTGGGAAAAGATTTCAGGAGAAACTTGGAAAAGTCTAGTTTTGCAGACATTCAAGTATTACTACTGAAAATGCAACTTTCGATCTCAGTGCTTTTTTTTTTTTTTTTTTTTTTTTTGTACCAGGGATCAAACTTGGGTCTTTGTGCTTGCAAGGCAGGCAGTGGAACCACTGAGCTAAATCCCAGCCCCGATCTCAGTGCTGTTTCTACTCCTGCTCCTAACTAAACCCTCCAATTAGGATTATTGGTTCTAATAGAGGAAAGGTATACAAACAATCCTTGTTCTAGAAAGAACTAGTTTTGCCTCTCATGAAAGCTCAGTTCTCAAGCCATTCCCTAAGTACTACTTAGTGGGTTCAGTTGTTTTATTTATTAAGCTTTGTATGAATTTCTTGTTCACTTTGTGTGTGTGGGTGCCCACGTGTGGGTGGTGGAGGTGATAAAGGGGATTGAACCTGAGGCCTTCATCCTGAGCTACATCTCCAGGCCTTTAAAAAAAAAAAAAAAAAAAGTTTTTTTGTTTTTTTTTTAATTGAGACAGTCTTACCAAACTTGTCCAAGCTGGGTTCAAATATGTAATCTTCCTGCCTCGGCCTCCAAGAGTGCTGGGATTACAGATGTGTGCTTTGTTCACATTTTTAATTGACCCTGATAGACTTTAGAAATGCAGTGATGTGTCCCTGGTTGAGAATAGCTTGAGATGGGTCCAAATCTGATTCCAGATCCTCAGTGATTTCTGCAGATGGGCCCTCTGCTGTACTTATACATAGCTTGATTTAATAGCAAAAAAAGCTTGCACTGTCCATACAAAAACAAATAATAGTAACAGCATGATCACTGTTTGCACACACTAGACCTTCACGTCTCCATTTTAGCCAAGTGGTTTGGTTGGTGATGCTCATTGCTCATACATGTATTTCTAAATACATTTTTTAGAAAAATCTAGCAGTTTGAGAAACCCAACACACACATTGAATAATAGTGCTTTCTTTTTTTATAAAACTGCATCTGGTTTAAAATCTACAGTGAAAAACAGCATATAGGCAAGTCTCCCTTAGCCTTGGGATCTTTCTGATCTATAGGAAGCAGATGGGCCTCAGTTTACCTTTTATGAATGTGGAGTTTTATACAGATCCATAGCACACCTTCTTACGGTATAAAATTCCTAAGTATTTTCTCAGCACTAGGAAAAGTAATTGAAATGTAACCAAAGGCTTATTTACACATTTTCCTTGGCTTTTAAAACTCCACAGGGCCTTAGCCTAAAACAAAACCAGGTTGAAGAAGAGTTTTATTATTGCTAATAAAGAAAAAAAATTGATTTGTGATCAAGCTATAACACAAGTGATAATCTCTTTTTTATACACAACTCCTGGGTTTCTTTAGCTCAACTGCTAGAACATGATCTTTAGTTTTATTCTGTGTTTGGATTTCTGTGCTATATAGTGTTAGCGACATTATGCATTCGTAGCAGACCATTGAGTTTAAAAATAGATCTTTCTCCATTTATGTGGCCTTATTTTATTTAACTGCTTCTTTGGATTGAGGCTTAAGTTTAAATATTTGAGGCTAATTGTTTCATTTGAGATTTCAATAGTCTTTATGCAAGAATTTGTAGATACTGAAACACCAAATAAATTTTGTAGCCAAGTTCCTTTGAACGCTCAACCAGCCAGTTGAATTTGTTAGACAAGTGTTTTGTTTTTAAATTCAGGAATCATGCAGATAATATCACACCTAACTTGGCATCTAACCCAGCCATTGGGTGCAACTTGTCTGTCTAAACCCAAGAGGACACTTAAAACCTTGGCAGTATTTTTTAATCCAAGTAATACCTCCCTGAAATAGTTAAAAGATTAAGGGGTTTAGTTGATTCTGATAATACCCATTTGAGAGCTGTCAGAAGTAGCTGATAAGTTATACTCCATACAGAAATCCTATAAATTTATTGTTCTTGTCTGCCTCCTCCCGAGGACTTTATGCATCAGGTTGTTTTTCCTACAGACAGTAAGCCTCTGCCTGCAAAAATGAGTAAGACATCATGACTCACTAGTCGAAATGATACGAATAAATTACAGTTCAAGATAAGTGCTGCAGTCTATGTATGTACATGGGCCCAAGCAGGCAGAGGAATGAGGCCGTTGGGTTAGAGGAGAGAGCCTCATAGCTGGGGTGACCTTTCCATGGGGTGTTAAGGATTGCCTAAGGAATGGGGAGCAGTCTTTTGGAGAGATAAGTGGACCTCTGGGTAGAACACCATCATGGTAGACAAAAAATGCCCCTCCAAGATATCCACTTTGAAATCTTGCGGATATGATTATGGACCTGGAGCTGGGAAGATTATTCTGGGCCCCCCATGGACACCCAGTGGAATCGCAATGATCCTTACAAGTAAAGGAGGGAAGCAGAAGTCAGTGTCAGAGTGATGCCACGTGGGAAAGGTTTGCCCAGCCATTGCTGGCTTTGAAGATGAAAAGGAGCCACAAAACAAAGGGGGCAGCTTCTAGGAACTGGTAAAGGCAAGGAAACAGATTCTCTCCTTATTAATTCCCAGATCTTCAAGACCCATGTTGAACTTCTAAACTACAGAACTGCAAGATAATAAATTGGTGTGGCTTTGTCACTAAATCTGTGGCAATCTATTATAGAAGCCATAGAAAGCGAACACACCATATACAAAGAAAGGTGGGAAAATGCAATAATGGGCAGGGGCAGGATGAGGGGAGTGAAGTGGACCTGTTACAGTGATGATGTTGTGCAAAGCACTTTGGCTCTTATCCCATTAGAGATAAACAGTGGGTAACCAGGCAAGGATTTTTGATAGCAGTATGAAGTAGACAGACTGCTGCCAAACTTATTTTCCTTAAAAAGGCAATGTATAGTGAAACTCTTAGCTTCACAAGGCAGTTTGACAAAAGGAGTCTAACCAGAGGTAGTCCGTGGCTAATAGAGGTCTGAAACCAACATGTTTATTTTATTTTTCTTTTT